CGCCTCTTCCGCGACCCCCGCCCTCCTGGCCCTGCGGGGCGTCCTCCGGGGAGGTGCGCAGGGAGGGCCCCCGGCCGCGCTCAGCGGGAGGCGCTTGGGCCCCCGCGCCCCGGAGGAACTGCAGGCCCTCCCGCGTCCGCCGATCAGTCCCGCTTCCCCCACCCTGGAGCGCCCCGAGGCCGCGGGCAGCAGCTCCCGGGTTGCCCGCCAGCCGGCTGAGCCTCGTGTGGGACCCAAGCTCGGGGCGGTCCGAAGCGGCAGGTGGCCCTCCGGCTAACGGGGCGCCTCCCGTGGGCTCAGTTCCAGCTGACGGTGCCCGTCTCGGTGGTGTTTGCCGAAGGGGTCCTCCCGAAGGAGCAGGCGCAGGCGCAGGCGCAGGAGACGGAGATTCCCTTGAATGGTAGGTGGGGCTGGCGTGGCACACGAACACCCGGGCTGGCCCAAGTGGCTGTGCCACGCGGGCGTTAAACCGCGTCAGCCGGCCCACAGCCTTCAAGGCGGAGCCAACGGAGAGAGCCACCAGTTATCCCAAAGACTGTTGTGGCAGCATGGCTATGTTTGAAAATGCCAGGCTGGCATTTGAGCTTGTGGTCTTAGAACCCGGTTGGAGCTGGAGAAGCGTTGCCTGGCCTAGGATTTTGCTGTATTTTTTTTTTAATTGGCACAGGCTGGCCTGTTTCGCTTAGGGTGTTTCTTCTTAAGCGTCCCTCCCTGGTCCACTCTGGCGTTAGCCGTGAGGGGCAGAGGCGGGATATCGCAAGGCCCGCGGCAAAGCGATTTTTGCCTGAAATAGCCTCGGAGGCCATCTCAGTAAGCAGAGATGTCGTGACGCGCAATTTTCCCTCGGCTGAGGGGCACATTCCAAAAGTTGGGGTGGGACCTGGAAGAAAAACTCTCACTTTCTTTTATACACGCATTCCTATTGTTCTGTTTCCTTTGGGGTAAGCAATATTACGCGTAACCAAGAAAAGGAGTGAGAGGTAGTGAGGCAAATTAAAACCATGAGATAAGAACAAAGGAGAGGCAATATAGAGAAATCTGGTCATACCCCCGCCATTCCCTCTCTCTCCCCGTATCTTTCTCTCCTTGCAAACCATCTTCGCTTCCATCCACTGCTTTGTACGTGGCCTTCAGTTCTTTTGAATGTCTCACCTCTCTGTTTTACAGAATCTCCTCAGCTCCACCTGGCGCTGACTTTTTCAGTCTTCCCTCTCTGCCCATTCACTCTTCAGATACTGGTTTTCCTATTGTACTTTCAGACTTGCAAGACTCTGTTAATGTAGCCTTACAATCGAGTAGAGTGCGCTTATCCGTCTGGTCCACCTGGGAGGCTGACACAATGGGAAGGACAGCACCAGACAGTTTGGCACATATATGTGGGTGCCAGAGGTGCAGGCAAAGCATAATTGCACCCCAAAGATGCTCCCACTGGCCTCTGCAAGCACGATCTCCCATCTCTGATCTACCGCCTGCTTGGGAGCCCACAGACCGTTCCCCTCGTCTCACCATATAGACGTGAATGTGGCACATTGACACACACGCAGGATGCCTTTTCTTTTCCTTTTACACTGATCAGCATGCTCAAAACTGAACACGACAAATGTTGTTTTTCATCAGCCGTGTATTTAGTCCTTTCCCCCTTTGTTTCAGCCAAAACAAGTGTGGTTTCTCGCTATGATGTTTCCTTTCGCCATGCCACTTCGCAGGAGCAGGCGTTCCTGTCGCAGACCTCAGTCCAAGGTAATGGCTGAGGGCGAGAAGGAGCCTGGCTGTGGCTCTGGACAGAGACCCAGATTCAGACAGATGGCTGTCCGGCTTCTGCTTGACCACATCCAGCGCAGGGGAGCTGCCTGCCTCTTGGCCATTGGAACTGCTCCCCCAGCGCTGTCTGTGCACTTATAGCCTTGAGGGCTGGATTCGCCTGCGTAGCTGCGCATCACCTCTCACTCTCTTTCCAGAGGCAGACAAGGGGCTGCGGCCAGTGGAGGGCCTGCCGGTGGGCTCCCTCGCCATCTACGTGATTCCCCCAAGCTCCCTTCTCCTGCCACAGGTATGCGGCCTGGTGCCCCTCTGCCTCCACTGTGGGTTCTGTGCAAGCCTGTTTTCCGGGGTGGGTGGAGAAGGATGTAGCTGAATGGTCCTCCCACATCCAGAGAGCAAGAAAGGGAGGGGTAGGAGCAGATTCAGGCTCCAAACAGATGGAGCGGTCTTCCATAGAGGAAGAGTAGACTGGTGTTCTCTGCTCTGTTGTGGCCTCCGGAGAGCGTAGGAAGAGCCTGGAAGGATGGCCCCTGGATGAGCAGTCCAGCCCAGTTGAAGTCTGGGAGGGAGTTGGGGTGCGAGAGAGAGAGAGAGACACACACATACGAATTTATAGGCTGCCCAATTCCCAATGTCTCTGGGCGGCTTACAATTAAAAATTAAAAAAAACACCAAAAAACCATGTAAGATTAAAAAGAGATCATGTGGTCCAAAAACCACACATAAGCTGCCGCCACCCTGAACTGGAGCTCAGCTTTTACCCTTCCCGAGTCCTGGGGCAATAGCCAGGTCTCTGAATAGCTTAAAGAGATGCTTCTGGGAAGCCCAAAGCCATGCGCTCCCTTGTTCCCAGAGCATCTTCTTCTGCATTCGCTGCCCCGTCTGTCTTTGGAAGAAGTTGTGGGGAGGCCAGGAGAGGAATGGAAGGGAGAGCAGATGCAAACACTCAAAAGGTGGAAGGTGAATCGATTGGTAGCTTGTCTTGGCATTGGCAACTCAGCCCAGGTGGCAAGAAAGCTGAGAAGAAGTATTTCAAATTGACTCTGTCTGAACGAACTCGCAGTCAAGAGGTGGGAATTTCCTCTCGCAGCTTGCAAGATTAATGGCAGTCCCACACAGCTGGGCAAGAGCGCGGAAGTAGGAATTACATTGGGTCTTAATTAATGAATTAATGAATTAATTAAACAAATTTATATGGCCACCCAACTCACGCACGGAGTTATATGGCTGCCTAACTCATACACTTTAATGCTAGGATTGATGGTAAGTACAGAATCTTGGAAACTACACAGGAATTTCCAATCCTCACTGAAATTCCATTAAAGCAGAGTTTCTTTGGGTAACTGGAAAGGCTCCCCCTCAGGTTTCTCTCCACCTGGGCTGAGTCACTTCCCTCTCTCCTCTCTTCCTCCCCCAGCCTCCCCCCAGTTGCTCACACCCTTTACGCTTCTCTCCTCCAGGCTGAACAGATCTAGATCAATACCTGCCCGGTTGGGGTATGGATCTGCACAACTGGGCCCCCTTGCCCCCCAAAGGACACCCGTCCTCTGGTCTCTCTCTGTGTTCAGTTGCACAGCTCATAGCTGGGCTCAGACTTTCTGAGAAACTGCAATGCCACTGGTCCTGGGAAAACCAGCCTGATGCCCTGTAACCCCCTCTTAAATTAGCTCTTGTGTCTAAATTATTGCCAACGTGCTTTGTTTCGCTTTGAACAGTTGAAACAGTGGGCTTCTACCTGTGTTTCAGGGTGAAAGCTGAACAAAATAACTATTTAATGAAATGCTTGTCTTAATTGGCAAAAAGCTTTCCTTGCGTTTCCTTTAATACTCTTGAAAACATCATACGATTTTTAAACAGTTAAGCAGTGTGGGTGTGCCTCCCCGCTTTTGCCAATTTGGCAGAAAAACCCCAAACTTGCTAAAGACGAAACTCTCTTCTTGTTGCAACGAAACTGACAGCGTTAGAAACGCTCGGCCCCTCATGCCCTTCGTGCCCAATGCCCCTCTGAACGACGGTCGGCCCCTCTCTGTCTGGCTGTGCAGCTTGGGATGGCAGAAGCAGCTTCAGCTCAGAGCCCGCCTGTTTTCCGGCAGGAGATGGGGATGTACATTGGGAGGCACCGCAGCGCCTTCCTCAGGGCCCCACGGGGGGCCGAAGACGTGCTGGGAGCACTGAACGCTCGGATGCAGCAGCTGATCCAGGCCATGTCCTTCACCACAGAGACCCTTGTGGAGGCCCTGGCCGACCGTGTCCCGCTGGGCCAGCCGGGGGCCGAGTGGAAGCGCCCCTTCAAGTCCAGTTTGGGTATGGATAGGCCGGGGGGGGGGAGCTGAAGGAGAGGATGCCCGCCCCGTCCCCTGCCCCCGTGCAGCAGGTCCTCCTTCGGAAGGGCTAATACCTCCCCCAGCTGGTGGTGCATCAGAAGGGCAGGGAGTGTGTTTCCAGGACTTCCACTCCAACGGTCCCCAGCCAGCCTAGCCAAATATGGTTGGGCAGTTGAGTTATGATATTTCCGCCTTGGATGGCTCTCAGAGATGTGATGCCTTGCCCCCAGCATTCCTGGTTCTCATTCTTAGGTGACCAGCTGGGCTGTGAGAGCGTGGCTGGGTTCGTGTGTCGCCATCAGCCAGGGTGGGGTGGTTTGGGCTGGCATCTCGCGTGCACCCTGCTCTTCTTCCTTGTTGACAGATGGTGGCTTTGCGCAGGGTGGGGAACCCAGGACCCTCCCCCAGCTTCTTTTTGTGGCCCTTGTGAAAGCTGTCCTGGGGACCGTAAAAGAGGCATGATGTGGTCCTCCCGGGTGATGTGGCCCTTCCTTCTCTGGCTTTGGCAGCGGAGACTCGCTTAGGAAGTGGCTGAGCAGCCTCCCAGGGTCCCAGCGCTCTAGCAGCCATGGGGAGACTCCCACCCCCAGTTCTTGGTTCCTCCGCAGGATACGAGATCACGTTCAGTTTGCTGAATCCTGACCCCAAAGCCCACGACGTGCACTGGGACATTGAGGGGGCCCTCGAGCGTTACGTGAAGCCTCTGCTGGAGAAGCTGAGCCCAGTAGCCGAATTCTCGGTGGACTCGCAAGTGAGTGTGACCAGAGGCCGTGGGGTTGCAGGTGCTGGACTCTCTGCCGACCCAGGCTGATGGGTACTGTTTCTCCCCTGCCCCAGATCCTCTACTACGCAGCGCTGGGAGTCACACCCCGTTTTGACGCCGGTTCCTCCAGCTACACCCTGAGTGTGCAGAGTCTCCCGCATGTCATTAACCCTGTGGAGGCCAGGCTGGGTAAGCAAGGGCGATGCCCCTTCAGCCGGGGGTTTACTTAGGGGTTCCTCCCAAGGGACCCTCTGACTGGGACCCCAGAAGTCTCAGGCAGAGGGCTGGCCTCAAGAAGTGGGTCATGGGCTGCACTCCTGGATCAAAAAAACCCTAATTTGTTCCCCTTTAATTAAGATTAATGAGAACAGATGTGACAGAGGCCAGCAGGAAACCTAGAGCCGTAGGTTAGAGCCTCTCGCCAAGAAAACTTCAGAGACAGGTCCATGAAGCCACTGGGAGGCAGACTTGACGTAAGGGGGGTTTGGCTCGACAGGTGCGACACCGAGCTGCTTGCACCATCTCCGAAAAGCTCAGCAGGGCCAGGCCTGGCTTGGCCTCAAGCGAGAGGCCATCAGGCGATCTGGGGCTTGGCCGTAGGCAGGAGGCACAAGCCAGCCCTTTCTGGCGGCCAAGGGACCTGCACGGGGCAGACTCTGGGGAGCCAGCCTCAACTGGGGCCTCTCTTGGGGAAGGGGCTGTGGGGAGGCGTGGCTCGGGAGCACGATTTCAGAGGGGCTTTGGTGGTCCTGGGCCTCAAGCCCATGGGAGCCAGCGCTAGAAGCAGCATTCTGTCCTCCTTCCTCTCCGCTCGGCGCTGCTGAGGCCCCACCTGGAGCGCCAGGTACAGATCCGCCCCCCCCCCCTTGCCAGAAGGACTTTGACAGGATAGAGGAGGGCAGCTGGGGGGACTCTGTGCCCTTGGAGGACAAGCTGGAGCAGGTGGGGGTATTCAGCCTAGAAAAGAATGGGGGCTGTGTCCCGGTCCGTAAGAGAAGCTGCAGGGAAGGTGGTCCAGGGCTCTTCTCCACGGCCACAGAAACGGGGACCCGAAATGACGGTCGTAAGTTGCAGGTGCCTAGATTTCAGTTAGGTATAAGACAAAGCTCTCCGGCAGCAGGATCGGTGCAGCAGTGGAGGCCGTGGGTTCTCCATCTCTGGAGGTGTGCAAGAAGAGGTTGGACGAAGAGGTTTTCCTGCACCGGGCAGAGGGTTGGACTGGATGGCCTTGTGGCCCCTCCCAACTCCACAATCCTGTGGTTCAGTGACAGTCCCTCAGGAGTTACTCCAGTGAGGGGAACCTTGAAAGCAGAAGCCCCCCTTTTCCTTTTGAATCCCATTGCGAGGGCTTAGATGCAGGTTTCGGGTGTTTTATTTCACGCTCTTGGCTTAACAGAAAGAGGAGCCCCAGCAGTAAAATGACTCCACTTTGAGGGGCCCACCAGCCCTGCATTTCCAGTCTCCCCCTCTCCTCCCCTCCCCTCCCCTCCCCTCCCCTCCCCT